TCCCTCCACCTCCCACCACCACCACACTGACTCTGACCTACTTTAAGTCCTGTATTGCACAACAGAAAATGGGACTGGAAGGTCAACCAAAGGTCACGTTTGATCGGCCTCTCCTCCAGTGAAGTGGTTCTTCATCCTTAAATACGTTTGATGATGTGACGTCCCTCATGTTGTCCATCACTGTGACGTCTTCTCCTTCTCGTCTCTGTTGTGTTGCAGACCGGTCAGGTCCAGATTGGAGCGGACAGCTGGTTCATCCAGCCGGCGGATAAAAACAACCAATCACAGTCATTCTCTGGACTGAAACACTGGCTGACGCGACACAGACGCTCACCTGGAACCAGCTCATCGCCCCCTGCTGATCAACCTGGGGTCTGCGGTACTAAACAGGGTAAGTGATGTCTGTTGAACTTTGTCTGGTTCAGAAGGAAACGGCTGACATAAAAAAGTGTTTTTTTCACTATCTATCTATGTATCTACCTACCATAAAAAAGTGTTTTTTTCACTATCTAGCTATCTATCTACCTACTCATCCATCCGTCCATCCATCCATCCATCCATCCATCCAAACTTTATTCTGTTGAAGGAAAACTTGTTGCCACTGTACTACGCTCCAAACGCTCCAGTTCGACAGATACTCCTGTGTGTATTAAAAAAAATACCACATGTACTGAATATCTGTGGTGATGAAGTTTTAAGAGACAAACTCCAGTTTTGAATATCACATTATAAATATCTTCAACGGTTTTCCATTCCACTTACTTTGTATTAATATTTCCCAGCAACAAATCTGCTCCCAATATTAGAAATATTAAAAATATTCCGCAGTGAAACGTACACATGGAGTCACTTTGGACTGGTATTAAATGGAATGGTGCTCCAGCTGTAAACTCTTGTCCTATCATTTTCACAATGCAGACAAAAATATTTTTTTTCCATTCTGTATTCTGGTCTTGGCAGGAAGTTCTAGTCTGCTCCTGAACATGCCCGTCACAGCGCGAGCTGCTCAGACTCCAACATAAAGTAGCTGAACTCAGAGCCTGGGGTGTCTGGAGTCTTCGTTTCTTCAGTGATCGGGGATCAGCTGTCGATTCTCCCACACAGTTAAACCTTAAATATAAATAAATGATGAAGCAACGAGGTCTCAGAGCGAGAAAGACCTGGAGTCCAGCTCGGTCCCCCAACCCAAATACAGCAGACTGGGGTGTGTACCAGGTCACGGACTGGGTCAGGACTGAATCAGTTCCAGCTCCCTCTCTGACCGTTAAAAAAAC